ACCATATTAAGGATGTTGACTGAATTTTTCTGTTGCCTTTTCCAGTACAATTAATATAGTGCCTTTACCATCTCTCTCCATGAGTCTTTTTTTTTTTTTTAACAGAGGATAAAGGGGAATGTACAACTCCCACATAAAGCTGCTTAGTGCGAGGACTGTTCTTTAACAGAGATTCAAGACCACTTCTAACACCAGCTATGGTGATCTACTTTGAAAGGAACTTGCTATTCAATTGGCAACTTAGATTTTATAAAATAGAAGAAATGCTTCATGAGCTGTGTCGAATACTGCATTTTTGATCTGTGCCTCCCTATTGAATTCCCTATAGTCACTAGACAGCTTTGCAGAAGAAAATCATGTCCTCAGTAGCATAATAATCTAGCCAGACTGTCACAAATGTTTATGTTGCAAGTTATATTTCTTGGGTTGTAGAGGGAGATGGCAGAATTTTGGAGGAGAACCAAATCACAGCCCCAAAATGATGCAAGACGAAAGGGGAAATTCTTCCCTTTATTTAGCATTTAGTTCTCCAGTCAAGCTGTTTGCTCTTAAGTCTGAAGATCCAATAAATTGTTAAAAACACATAATGACATGTTTGAGAAGCCTTTCCACTAATAGAAATCTTTGACCCTTAATTAGGCAGCTGTGCTAAGACATCAATGACCTTTCCGCTTGTGTGAGCCAGCAGCCATTCTTATAGAAAGCAGACATCTTGTAATACAGCAGGAATTTACTTACTTACATTTTTCCTGTTTGTCCCCCACTGGGGACCTCCTGTGAGTGTCAGAGGGAATGAGTGTCTGGAGACAGTCAGAGAAGACAACTAGTCGCAGTGGGATGCCTTCAGGCCCCAGGGTTCCAGTACAGCCCCAGGCACCAACTGCTGTGAGACTAAGACTCCTATCTGCTTCCTTGGGCTTGGGCCAGATAATCTCAGAGGGCTTTCTCAGCTATTGAAAACTATGAACTGTTATTTTACCTCTATTTTTTACTAGATGGATGGTACTTTTGAAGGCAGTTGATCCAGATTAGACATTCTTGGAGAGAAGATGGGCTATACATTCTCTTGATCCTAGAATTATGACCTTGGCATGAGCATCAGTATTATTTGAAAAAGTGTGATCATGGTGAACCATCATGAACAGAGCTCCTGTGTATGTGATCATTACCAGCTTACCCTGGGATATTTTGAAATGTTTCTCCTTACCTTCAATAAAGGACCTTGAGTAGTGTCTTATCAAACCTCTCATTTCCTAGATAAGGTAGCTAAGGCTCAGGGAGGCTAAGTGCCTCCCCAGGGTTGGAGACCTGGTTAGCACCTGGGCAAGACATTTTAGTGCATCGTGCATGAATTTACTCAGATCTTTGTTCCACTCCTTGTGCGGGTCCCTTTCTACAATACACAGCTGACCCTTAGTGTGTTATTCATTGCTCACAAAACTGCTTTGTGGCATCTAACTCACTGGTGTCCATTATTTCTGGGTTTGTTTCATGCAGATTACGTAGCTGTACCAGTCAGAGTGAGTCACATCAAGCCAATATTTATGGTAATTTGTTCATGCTTATGTGGAAATGCATTTTTTTTTGTATTGAAGTTTTGCTTTTCTTTTGAACATTTAAAAAATTTAAAAACACTGTGCTTAGTTTTTTTCCCCCTGCGCTTCAACTATTTAACTGATGATCAGTTTTGTAGAGAGAGTATTTATGGATTGATTCTTCCATTCATTCACCTAATACTTATGGAGCACCTGTTGTGTCCATCCAAATGCCACACGGCAGGGGTCCAGTGGTAAAACAGCTGGATGCTGCCATTTCTGAGGTTATTCAGAGTCTAGCTATGCTTCATGGAGTTTGTCTTGATTCCTAGCCAGTGACCTGTTTCACATCGCTTCTCAAAGAATCCAGTTGAAAAGCCATTTGCTTGGTCAGTTTCTGCCTTGCGATTATTCCACTGACAATTTCTTTTCCTGAAAAGGCACCTTTGCTGTCATCACAACATGTATCATCCAGTTTTCCAAAACCCTGTTCTTAGCTTCTGTTCTGTTACCTGACCGAACAAAAGAGATTAATTAGCTAAACTTGTTTGTACTATTGTGATTCACAAAATGAGTGCTCCCTTCTTTGGAAAAACTGTTCCGTGGAATCCTAAATGGGTAGTCTAGATAGCATGGTGTCTAGGGAACTAATTGCAGGTTAAAGACCAAATCCCTTGGCCTTGCATAGCAAGCCCATTATTATGTACAGCCCATATTTGCTTGTTTTGCCTCTTGTTCTGAAGCTCCTGTAGAATGTTTCAGAAGCATCAAACCTATTGCAGTGCGTAGAGATTTGCAGTGTTGTCCCTTGATAAAGTGCCTTTGCATGTGCTGGTTCCTCGGCCTGAAATGTTTCTCCTCTCTTCAGACTGACTTTCAAGGCAAGTTCAGATACGATCTCTCATGAATGCTTTGTGACATTTACCCTCTTTACTGACCCCTGTTGTACAGAGCTGAGCTAGGTCGACGGTGTCTGTCTTAACATCCCTTTAGTACAAAGATCCCATAGGACTTTATAGACTGTATTGTGATTATTTGTCTGTTGGTTCTCTTTCCCAAATAGATATTTTGTTCCTTGAGGGCAGGGACTCTATTTTCATCTCTATATCCCAAGGCCTAGTTCAGTGTACTGCAGATACCAATAGCTAGCAGATATCCAGTAGTCCTTGAACAAGCAGATTGGGAATCACCATATAAAGCCTATGGTGCTGGTATTGGCAGCTACTGCTCCATGTGGAGAACTTAATTTTTCAAAATAATGTGACTATATGAATTAGACGCAAAGGATAAAGAGATTGGCAGTCATCCTAATGTAATCCATTAGAAATTTTATGTAAAACCCTCCAGAAAATGATTGTCTCCAAATGAGTTTCAATAAAGTAAACAAGAATTAAGTGCCTTCTCTAAGCAAAGTATTGTATTAGATCTCTGGGATTGAAAGATTTAAGAAAAGCCACAAGCTAGTAAAGATTTGTTTCATGTGTAAATGATCTGATAATAAGGCAGAGATTCTGCTAGGCTGTAGATAGGCCTATAAGTCTGGGGGTAGAAGGTGCATTCCAGAGAGAGGAGCTGGCTTGAACAAGAACCTAGAGATCTGATGGTCAGCAAGGAGATGGCTTGGGTGGTGGTGGTGGTGATGAAATGGAAAAGGCAGGGAAAGACCAGGGACCTTTGCGTGGGGGAGATGGGGATGGTATCAGAAGAGCTAAGTGACACCTTATTATTTCCTGAAAGATGGGAGATAATTAATAGGGCCTGGATAAAGCCAAAAAGGAATCTCTCCTCAGGTTTAATTAAATCAAGTCTGTATTCAGCAGGGAAAGAGAGCAGTTGCTCAGTATATAACCACATAAGACGTTTGCTTCTCCCCTAGCCCGTTTACCCTTGAGGGTACACTTTGACATTCAAAGTCATCACAAGGAAATGAAGCCAGGAAATCTAATCTGAATCAATCAGTTTAGCCCTAGAGAGAATTTAGGATGGAGGTCACTGAAGTGCCTGTGAAAATACCATCCAGAGCGTAAAGAACCCCATGGTCCTTTGGTGCTTCATTACTCACACCTTCTGTTTCTTTTTCTTTGTCAATTAGCTTTGTGCTATTTACAAAGAATACAATCATTTTATTAGTTAATGAGGTTATGAATAGAGAAGCTGCTTTCATGTAGGTGAAAGAGTAGTTTATTAAAAAACTATCTGTAATCACTTCTATTCATCCCCAAGGTGTGATATCTCCTATGCCTCTTCCCACTTTCCTTTTTTCTAAAAGAATCAGGGAAGATATGTTTAGGGAGTGGTAAGTTAACTTTTGTGCCTCTGAGAATTGGATCTGGTCAGATGCCTCTCTACCCTGGATGTAACCTCAGAAGATGGAATTGTAAGGATAATCTCTAGAAACCTTGGCCAGAGCATGAAAGCAAATAGATTTTGAGTGAGAGATGATGAGGTAGAAAAGAAGCTCATTCACTAAACAAGTGCTTATTCAGGCATAGTTCTGGGTAGAGAAACAGTGAACAAAACCACCTATATTTTGCTTTCATGGAGCTAACATTCTGGGAGAAAGGGGAGGGGCCAATAACCAAACACATTAGCAGATACAAAGCATATCACAATGGTGAAAATGAAGAATGTTTATGCTACTATTATAGTCATATTTGGGGTTTCCATTTATTGAACATGTTCATAATATTTAATTTGACTCCATGCTTTGTTTTTAGCTTACTGCTTTTATATTTACTTTCTGACTAGGCTACATAAACTGCAATCTTGAGGGTTTTTTCCCCCTAGGTAAGTATAGCTGTTGAAATAATTGGAGTACTGTGAACAAAAGTTATAATCAGGCATTTAGCTCTGGAATTGACTTAAAGAAAAAGGAAGGTGGACATCAGAGCTCATGAGTATTTTTCTCAAGGGTAGAACTGTCAGAATTCAGATGAAGAATGTAGGATAGAAACAGACCTGTCTCTCACTTGAGTCTGAGGGGAGCAGATTGGAGTGCTCTTCTGGAAAATTGGGAGCTCGAGTTTAGGGAGCACTGGCCCTGGGAGGGAGGCAAGGAAGTGGTGGACACCATCGGTAAACACAGCTCCTTAGGAAGAGATGAGAGTGAACTAGTAAGTGAACATACAAGAAATTTTGCAAGGAATTTCAATTTGGGTGGGAAGGAAGAAAGATAAAGTCAGTGAGATGCATGTACCTCAGTGAGCAACACTTGTAAAAACAGGTCCTGCCCAATTTAGAACATTTGGGTAATCAGTTATAGAAATGATGCCTTGAAACAAAAAGCAATATTTACGAATTTTTAAAAATTCCTACACTATTATGTGTGATCTTTAATTCAGTGTCAGTGTTCTGTTATACTCCAAGCAAGATTTTGGTCAGTACTTTCTACCTTTCTTCTAAAATAATTAGGATTTAAAGGAGAATTTCTCCTAGTGGTAGAAAAGACTGGGCTCTGGGGTAGACATTCTGGTTCTCCCCCTGGCTCTACCACTTACTCACCTTTGGACCTTGGATAGGTTGCATAGTCTCCTTGTATATCGTGGTCCTTCAATTGTAAAACTCAGAATAACTAACAGTCCCTACCTGGTAGAGTTATTGTGAGTGTTAAATGCAGTAGTACATGGAAAGCGCTTGGCACAGTATCTGTAAGATGGTTATGTTGCCCAACAATTGTTAACTCATTATTTGTCTCTCTGGTGTTAGGAATTTGTTTGTGTGTACATATTTACCTGTTGAGCAGACTCTCATTGAATGTGGTCATACTTTCTTCTACATGTTTGGATGAATGATTTTATGATGAAGTTTTTAGAAAGAGCTCTGTTTTTGCTATTAATCTTTTTTTTTTTTTTTTACAATTTGAAACGCTTTATTTTTGTGTGTGTCCTGGTTATTAACAAGGCTACTTAATAAAGTTAGGATTCCAGTGAAAGGAAGTTTTCATGAAAGCCTTCAGGATCGCTTGTATGTCACTTAGCAGGGAGTAGCACTGAATTTGGCGTAAGACTTAATGACCTTATTTACAGCCTCCAAGAAATCCTTCTCGGTAGCAATTTTTCACCGTGCTCTGATGGTAAACATGCCGGCTTCTGTGCAGACGCTTCTAATCTCCGCACCAGTGCTATTTGCACACAGTCATGCTAACAATTCAAATCTGATATCTCTTTCGACACTCATTGAACGAGCATGAATCTTAAAAATATGAGTCCGACCCTCTAGATCAGGTAAGCTGAATTCAATCTTTCTGTCCAGTCTCCCTGGCCTCATGAGTGCTGGATCCAGGGTGTCAGGTCTGTTAGTGGCCATCAGCACTTTAATGTTACCTTGAGGATCAAAACCGTCCAGCTGATTGATCAGTTCCAGCATCGTTCTCTGCACTTCGTTGTCTCCTCCAGCACCATCATCAAAACGAGCCCCTCCAATAGCATCAATTTCATCAAAGAAGATGAGGCAGGCTTTTTTCGTTCTGGCCATTTCAAAGAGCTCACGAACCATTCGAGCCCCCTCACCGACGTACTTCTGTACAAGTTCAGATCCAATAACTCGAATGAAGCAAACATCAGTCCTGTTAGCAACTGCCCGAGCACAGAGGGTCTTGCCTGTACCAGGTGGACCAAAGAGCAGCACACCCTTGGGAGGCTCAATGCCAAAGTTAACAAACCTCTCTGGATGAAGTAATGGGGTTTCAACTACTTCTCGAAGTTTCTCAATCTTACAGCCACCCACATCACTGTACGTGACATCAGGTTTTTCTTCCACCTCCATCATGGTAACTGTTGGGTCAATCTTGGGAGGCAGTGGAATGTGAATCTGATACTTATTTCTGTCCACCCCAACTCTCATCCCTTCTTCAATGTTGGTAGGTGCTACCTGATCACTGATGTCCACCACAAACTTGGCAAACTGCTTCACATTGATAATGTACTTTGGGTCCTCCGAGTCAGCATTGATTATCTTCGTACACCTTGCAACCTGCAAAGGCTGTTCACTCTGCACTGTTTGCTTATCTGCAGCCAAATCCCAGAGTGCTGGTGGGGCCAGGCCAGTATCAGACTCTTTAATACCAGTGAGCTCATTAATTTTCTTGAGAAGTTGTCGAATGTCATCTTCAACCTGCTTTATCTGCCTAGAGTAAGTGCTTTGACCGTAAGTTTTCAGCAAGGCAATATCCCCCTCATCCAGAGCTCGGATGGGCTTGTCGTCCTTCTCCTCCTCTTTGGTTTTCCGCTGATCCGCACTGAGGTAATCTGGCATTTTTGGAGTTCCGAGGGCCTCAACTGCTCAGTGATTACACAGCACCTTCGTCGCTTCCGGTGGTGCCCTTGCTATTAGTCTTTTAAATGCTGATTCAGTTCACTTGAATTGCAAGTCTACATCACAGTGACCTATGAACAGAGGAATTGAAGGAGTGAATGACCACAGGGGTCTATGAAGGAGGACCACTAGACATAGTAAGTGACTTTCTGTCAGGAAAAGAGAAAAGTGGGGGTCGGGGGGTAGGAGCAAGATAGCAGCAAATAAGATTAAATTCCTTTCACTGGGACAGGGGAGTTAGGGATGGTTTCTCCTTACATGGTGCGTGGTCTAAGCAAGGTACTGCTACAGTGTTGTTTGCTCTTTCCAGGAAAGAATAAGCAAGGAGATGGGATTGGTGTAGATGCAGGGCAGGATGGTCAGGAAGGAGTTGTTATGTGGCGGTTAGTTTGTTGGAAAGATTTCTAAAAGCAGAGTGCTTGGGTCACAGTGTAGATGGGTTTAAAATGAACTCTTACCAAATAGCTAGTGACAGAAGTATGCCAATTTATATTCCCACCAGCACTGAATGAGAAGGCCTGTTTCCTTATTCCTAAGCCACGAGCAAACATTTTGATCTTTGCTAATCTGCTAGGTGAAAATTAGTACCTCATAGTTTAGTTCGAGCATCTTTTCATGTGTTTTACCCATATTTTCCTCCTCTGTGAACAGTCTGTTAATGGTTTTTGCAAGCTCACTTTTGAGTTTTGGTCTTCTTGATTTGGAGTAAAGAAATTAACATTTTCTTATGATTTCCCCCCCTACTTTGTCATCTGTCTTTTGATATTGTTTGATATTGATATTGATATTTGGGGGATAAGAAATTAAGTTTTATGTAATGAAAGTTGTCATGTCACTTCTGTTGTTTTTGGATTTTATATAATAATGAAAAAGCCTAACCCACTTTGGTATCATAAAACTGTTCCAACGATGTCTTTTTTGTATTTTAATGACTTTATTCTTATTACACATATTTTAGTTTAATAAGGAAATAGAAATTTATTTCTTCCCAATGACTACCTAGTTGCCTCCAAACATTTTTTGAACAATATATCTTCATATCTTTTCTTTGCCTGTGATAGCTTAATTCTTGAGAAAGTTGATATTTACTTAGACCAGGGTGGAGGTGGCATAAAAGGGTAGCATGAAAGGGTGGCATCATCTATTAAATCCCCTACAGCAGTTTGAACTGTTTGGGGAGTTTGCTCTGTTTTGTTAACTGTTAGTTTCTTAACTAGCTCTACACTGTTAATTTCTCTATTTTGTTTTCTCTACTTAGCCTTAATATCTGGTGTGGCTAGTCTCCTCTTATTCTTTGTTCCAAGAGTTTCCTGGATCTTCTTACATGCTTGTTTTTCTATATAAACTTTAGAAGTTGTCTAGTACTTAAAAAAAATGATGTTTTGGAGGAAGGGTTAAATTTATAGGTCAGTTTACCAAGAATTTATGAAATTGAACCAACCTGTGCCCAGAGTTCCCATTTATTCAAATCCTTTATGGCTCTAACTAGTGTTCTTACAGTATTCTTCATAAGTCTTGATAGCAGTTTTTTATTTAAATGATTTGCTATACTTTCATGATAGGTTCTTGTCTAATCTTCATATGTTTCCAGGTATTGAGGGATGAGAAGGGAATAGGAGTGTTCTTTAGGCACCATAGAATGAATAAATAACCTAGGGGAAAAAATACTGAAAATTTGCATAGATGGATATGATTGACTCACGTTTCTTTTACCCCTATTTAAAAACCCCATCTTTTGAATTATTGTTCTAACTAAAAACATGTATTTGCCTTGAATCTCTAACTGTGTTTAATACATGTTTTTCTCACTCCCAGATTGAGAACACCAATTGCTCGGATCCTTTTGCACACTGTTGTGTAACATTGTCTTTCACTAATTTATTTACCCATTAATAAATTAATTCAGGAGGCATTTAACAAGTACTTACTATAGGTCAAACATTAGGAATATGCTAATGAGATGTCCCTTTCATCAAAGGGTTTGCTGTTCACTAGTAGACTGGCCTGAAAACAAATTATAATAATGTACTTCTTGAAATTATATGAAGGGTGGAATTGAATCCTGGAGTTGGAGTGCTTAAGGCTGTCCTGGGACAATCAGGGAGGTCTTCACTGAGGAAGTGGCATCTAAACTGGGCCATTTAAATGAGTTGCTGCCAGGTGGGCAGAGCAGGGGAAGCTGCACCAGACAGAAACTAGCAAATACCAAGTCACTGGGATATGAGTGAGTTACAAGTAATTTAGTTTAAGACTGTGGAAGGAAATGACGCTTAGCCAATGTGCAGGTACTGCATTTCAAAAGACTTTATATAACATATAGAAGAAGTTTTCCTTATTCAAAAGGCACTGAAGAGGATTTTTGAGCAGAAGATACTGGGTCAGATTGTAGATTGCAACCCTTTGGTAGCTATATGGAAGATAAATGAGAAGGGCAGGGGTATACGCTCAGGAATACTAGTGTGGAGGTTACAAGACTAAGCACAGTGAGAGACTATTTTCTCTTAAACTAAGGCTGTGGCATTAAGAATGACAGGGATCCTATGTAATTCAGTGATTCAACAGTTATTTATTACATTCACCTATAGACCAGGCTTTGCACTAGGCTTCTAGGATGGAACAGCATGTAGGATAGATATGCTTTCTACTTCTAATGAGATTACATTCAAGTGGGAGGAAACTGACAAAGAAGCTGATAAATAATCTGATATGACAGGCACTGGTAAATGAAATGAAGCAGAATGAAGGGGAAAGCAGGGTGGTGTGGAGCATCCTGATCAGGACACACCTTTCAGCAGAGTGATTGTTGAATACAGACCCAAGGTGGGGTTGGGGAGGGTGTAAACCAGAGGTTGTTTGGGAAGGAGGGTCCATGCAGAGGGAATGGCCGGTGCAAAGGCCCTGAGAAGAGACTGCGCTTGGCATGATTAAAGAATAGCAAAGAAGCCAGGAGGGCTGGAGCCAAGTGACAAAGGAGGAGCTGGGAGCCAGAGGTCATTGTGGGAATTAATTAGATGTTAGAGTGAGATGGGAAATCAGGGCAGTGTTTTGAGTACAGGGGTGTAATGATTTGTCTGGTAGCATTGAAAGCATCTTGTTCGTTGCTACATGGAGAACAGATCATAGCGGGTTAAGGTATAAATAGATCAGTCAGGAGGCTAGTCCAGAAATCTAGGAGAGATGATGATGGACCAGGGTGGTGACGTTGGATGTGATTAAGGGGTGGCAGAATTATGGATTTGTTTCCAAATTGAAGCTAAAAGGATGCTGGTAGAAAAGCCTAGGAAGTGAAACCAGCAGGAATGGATAGGATAACTCTTGCTAAGGAAATTTGCAGTATTTTCAAGGGAGATGAGGAAAGAATAGTTCAGAGCGCCACTGTAGCACAAGCAGTCAACACAGCCAGTGTGGTGAGTGGGCCATGGTGAACTCTTGCAGGGTTCCTCCATGCATCTGTGTACTTGTAAGCCACACTGGAATGTGTGTAATGATTCAATAGAGAGTTCCTAGGATTGCCTTACTCTAAGAGGCTGTTAAATAGGGTTAATTGGAAGCATATAAAAGGTGTCTACTTTCCTGGGCAATGAAATTGATAAAGCAACTACACTTAAAGTTAACTTTAAACAATTTCACAGGCTGAGAATTTTCAGCAAACAGTAATCAGAGCTTTGATAATATAAGAAATTGGCAGCCCATTTGTATTGACATGGGTCAGAGGAACAATGTGGGGGACACAGAAAAGGACCCAAAGATCATGGATCTTAGGAGTGTGGGGAAAATGAATTAAGTATGGTTGAAAATTATGAATTGCCTAACCTTTTATCCAGGTGCTTTTAGCTAAGTGTTCTCTCTAAAGCTTAGGTACTTTTCTTTACTAGCAAAAAGGTTACAAAATGTTCCAGAGAGTTGAGTCAAGGCTAATTCCCTTATCTTTGGACGTTATCTTTGAGTGGTGCAGGGCTGTCTGTTCCAATAATAAGTATATTTCTGTAAATCATGTCATGTGTTCTATTATGAAACAGAAAATACATTCATGAAGGTTTTTTATGGATCCAAGCCAGGTACCCCTTTTTTCAGACCTTGCCTTTTGAAGGATTTTAGACTGTTCATAAGAATTCAGATTCCCCTTGCAAAATTTAGGATGAAAACCATGCCCAAGGCTGTTGCAGTCACTGTGGATGGGTTTAATTTCCACAGTATAAGACAAGTTAGAGATCAAAGCCATATAGGATTGAAGACTGTTCTCTTGGCCATAACTGATCAAGGGAAATAGTTCAACACATATTTTTCTCCAATTAACTGTATATACAGTCAACCATGTGCAATCCTCATTGAATTGGGTGGGTTCATTCTTTCTTAAATTCATCTGTTTTGTCATCATAAGTCACAAAATTAACTCTAGTTATTATAGGCAGAGTAATGGATAAAAAGGAATCTCTTAAACCACAGCGGTTAATGTAAAAATCTTTCTTCTGTTAATTGGCTTGTTTTTATAACTTTATATAGGCTTAGGTAGACTTATGTCATTGTGTTAATGATGCACTATGCGTGTGTGTCTGCATGTGTGCATGCATGTCGACACATATACATATGTAATTCCTCTCTTTTCCTCCCCAGACTGTAGTAGTCTTTCTGAAATGTGAACTGTTCTTATGTTTTAAATTTCTTTTCATCTAGCTTAGTGTCTGACACAAAGTAGGAGCTCAAAAAATGATTGTCACTCAAAACATAGAAACATTGTATTTTATTGTTCTGTTGACTATACACTAATGTACCTTGTTTACTTTTGAAATACTGATAGAGACTGTAATGACTGTACCCTGTGTTCCTGGCATCTTGGTTTTATGTGACAGTCTATGACATATTCATGACTCCAAACATTAAAAAGACAGCCTTTGAAAGGGAAGTGACTCTGTGCATGAATGTAGAAGGAGCATATGAGATTATGAGACAAAACTCTAGTAATATGTATATATATATAGGTATTATAGGCTTAGTATCTCC